TGGCCTGCTCGCCCCCAACTGTCCCCCTGCCAGCCAGATCGCCCCTAACTGCCTCTGCCTCTGCCTAGGCCCGCCACCATGGCTTTGTCCAGAAGGTCTCCCAGTCTAATTAGCATATTACCCTTTTATTAGTATAGATTGCTATGAAAATTCATGTGTAAGTTTTAATGTGGACATTTACTTTCATTTCTCTTGGATATATACCATTTTAAAGCCCCACAAGCAATGTATGAGTGTTGCAATTTCTCCACATCATTGTGGACACATTATTGTTGGTCCGTTTGATTATAGCCTTCAGAAGGGCAGTCACCTTATAGCCACTGTAGCTATAAAGTGGTATCTCCTTGAAATTTTAATTTGTTTCTCTTTGTTGACTAAGATCTTGAGCATCTTTTTATGTATTTATGCTCTGAGTTTTTGATTCCTGGGGATCATAAAGGACACTCACCTTAGTACTCTCAGGAATATTTTTAAAAGAATAACCAAGGACCTACAACAGTGCCAGGTCCATCCCATCTATCCTTAGGTAGTCATTCTGCCACACCAGATTAGATCATGGAAAACTTAGTGGAGATTACAATATTCTGAACTGTGTGGGTTCAACAAGAGGTTGAAAATATGAAACAGGATCTCTTGGGTAAAAGGAGTGGGAGGTTTTGTGAGAGGAGTGCTGAATCTCTTTCTAAGCCAAAGGATAGAGAGAATTGTAACTGGGCGATATCAGAGGGCCATGGATCCAGTGCAGAAAAGAGCAATGCAGTGGGAGTGAAGGGAGAGGACAAGGCAAATAAGAGTATAAGAATGTCTAAGTGGAGAATCTCTGCACTGAAAACTATTTTGTATTTAACGAGAACGGGGTAAATATTATCCAATGAACTAGTATATTTCAAAATTCTGAAATAATCTGAAATAGTAGAGTCTAAGAGAATGAAGTATTTCTGCCCTGGGTTCAGGTTTGGCCAATTTATTATAGATACTCTGTGGTATTTTTTGGTATCTTAAATCACATCTAATTATAGTATTTTGGGCAGAGAAGCCATAATCACCATTAAAAAAAATAATCTCTCAGTTAATGTTTTCATTCAAATTAATGCTTTAATCAAAGTGATGAACCTTATATCACTAAATAAGGAATACTTTTGAGTAAATTAAAAAATTTTAAGTATATGAATTTTGCACACGATGTGCCACCTACTGGGTACTTAAATCTAATTTCTCTCTCCTGTTGATGTGAATTTTAGGTGAGGTATCTCCTCTGCTTCTTGAGTACTAGACCCAGTGGGACCATGTACATTTGCCTTTTGTTTACAGTGATATTTTCAAGTACACTCTATTTCCAAGAAAACAGCTGCTGTCCTTAAGTCAAACTGCATGCACAGCACTGTGACCATTGGGATGGAGACGAATTACCTCATTAGGAGAATGCACCTCTCCCTAAGGGAACTGATCCTGGGGCTTTTATTTTTGACATGTTCTGAGGAAATCTCTTAAGACAGCTGGGTAATGTTTGCTTCATTGCTACTATGGTTTACATCTTTAAAAAAACAACAACACTTGATATGCTTCTCCATGTTGAACATGGGATTCTCTGATCTGTGTCTGTTTAGCAAGTAATTTCCCTCCTTTCCTTTATCCAGAAGCTTCCGGCTATAGTGCTCTTTGTGAAAGAAGGATTATTGAATGTGTACAGTTAGCCACGTGTTAAAATAGGAGAAGGCTTGAAGTAACTAAGAAAATTGGCCTTGGAACTATCATTTTGTCAACCCAACACTTTTTGCTTCATTACATGTTTTTGTGTGTTGATGGCCGTGCTCCTCTTTTTCTGCAGGCTGGGAAGGGATGATACCCAGTTTGAAGTTAGCATGGCCAACAGCGGATGTGAAGTGCATCGTTTTGATCCTAGTGTCAAGTCGGCTCATGTTCTGGAGAATCAGCGCCTCTGGTATCACCGCTTGTCCATTGACTGGCGGGACCCCCATCCAGCTGTTGCTGCCCTAAAGCCACATAGCAACACCAGAAAATTGGGGACCATTTTGAATGAATTTGGGCATCACAAGGTGAGAATTTTTTCATTTGATTTCATAATCAGGTAAAGTGAACAAACTCATAAACTGTGTGTATTTGTTTTTAATACAAGCCAAGAATTGGATAGTTGAAGGTCCAGTTTAAAAAAAATTATTTTTGAATTACATTTTACATTCAATATTATTTTGTATTATTTCAGGTATACAGCATTGGGGTTAGACAATTATATTCTTCACAAAGTGTGATCCCACCAATATTTCCAGTACCCACTTAGCACCATACATAGTTATTACAATATTATTGACTATATTCCCAATGCTGTACTTTGTATCCCCATGACTATTTTGTAACTAGAAGGTCCAGCTTTAACCTTACTTGTTATCCGTCATTATTTATAGAGTCAACTCTGTAGACCTAAGGTTTTGACAAATGTAGAAATATTTATATTGATTTAAAAAATTTAGTTGCTGTTGAGTAGGGCTAAGTAAGGTTTTTACTAAGAAACCTACTCCTAGCAAAGGCTCCAGCATACCATTTCTGAAGGGCAATTGATTTAAAATTTCCAGACAGAGGAAACTATTTATGTTAGCCTCAAATACAAAAAGTAATCAGAGTCAGGTTTATGTTTGATAACAGATTGCTTGTGTATCATATTTCTCATTGTTATAACAACGTTTTGAGTCTCCAGGCTTTGGAAGGTCAGAAAATATGTGTAGCTTTGATTAAAATGTACTTTGTAAAGTTGAATGGACATTACTAGTATGTGTGTTGCAACTGAGAGATACTTAGGTTCAAAGAATGTCAGATCTCTACAAATATTTTATTGTGAATAGATAGCAAAAAAGAGACTCCAACTTTGAACTGTGTTCCTAAAAGCAGAGCTGAGCTCATTGCATTTTGTAGGGAGATACTGGAAAAATTCTCCTGAGTGTAGCTGGCTTCTGTTTGATCACCAGCCTTCTGGGCTTGGCCTATCTTGGCCTATTATTCCCAGCCAGAGATGGCATGTAATTTAGAACATGCCAGAATAGGTATTTTGGAGAAACAGTGTACATGGAGCTCAATTTTAAACTTGAGTTTGCTGCTTGATCTTTAATAAAAGGGCTTTTCCTCCGTATTGTTCTTTCCCCTCCTCCTCGTCCTTATTCTCCTCCTCCTCCTCCTCCTCCTCCTCCTCCTCTACAAAAACAAAAAACAACAACAAACAAAACAAAAAAACAAAACACCAAACTCCCTTTAATTCAACAGCAGGAGCTTCTTCAAGAACAACTTTAACGAATTTTCTCTTCTTTTAACATGTGATTAACTACTGATTTGTATTTTGCTTTGCCATTGAGAGTAACTAGCATTTAATAGTTAGAAGCCTCAATGAAAAGTATATAGGATATTTTGGGTAAAACCTGTGAACAGAACCTAAAGAACTGAGAGCATTCTTTAGAACTTTATTTTGTTTTTTCTGCCTGTTACCTTCATAGACCTGCTTTTTACAGCTGAAAATTACAGGCTTGATTCTCAAACATGTCAACTCTAGATTATTCCAAAAACGAACTACTGATCTTTGTGTTCATTTAGGCGTGTTCCTGCTTCTCCTTAATGCTCTTTACATCCTGGCCCCTATCCATCACCACTCTTTAAGAAAAGACTGAGTAGAGGAATGAGGTGAAGCTTAAAATGATTTTGCTTTTTTTTCCGTAATATTTTTAAAATTTGGAATATGTGAAGATAAAATGAGACTTTGAAAAACGACCTGTGGGTATAATTTATTTAAGCCATATTGCCTATGGAAAAGTGTTCTTAGACAACCAGATTCGCACCTGATTTGTGCTTGTTTGACTCCATGGGAGCTGAAGTAGGCAAACCTGAATGCTGAGGATGAAGTAGGAAGCCTCAACAGCAGAAACATTTACATCCCCAGAAAGGAGACATGTTCTGGAACATTCCTTGTATTCCAAAGGCTACTTATTTTTATTAAAAAACATGAATAATGTCACTTACAAATAGTTAAGATGGTAATTTTTATGGGTATTTTACCACAATAATAATAATAAAAAAAACAGCACAGGAAAAAAAAGACCCCTAGTAATAATGAAAGTGATCTGGCTCAGAATTGTCAGAATGTTTTTGTTGCTTAAAAACAAAACAAAACAAAAAAACTCTTGTTGAAAAATTTTAAAGAGCCTGACATTCTTTTGTAGAGATGATTTTTGGGGGAATGCTTTAAAACAAAAACAAAACTAAGCCCGTCAGTGAGTGATGGCTTCCTTTAAGAACATGCTTCTAGGAGTGATGTGATACCAGATAAAGGGAAAATTTATTTCTGGCCCATAGCACACTAGGGCTGTTTTCATTTTGCTGCATGCGTACAGATACTGGTAGATAGGATGTGGCTCTGGCAGGGAAAGCAAACAGAAAAAACAACTCACACTAAAACATGGCAGTACTTATTTTCTCTCTCCTCTTTTTCCCCCGCTGAAAGCGGCTATAGAAACCAAAGTGGTGTTAGTTGTGTTGTTTTCACTTCATGACTTTAAAACATGTCCTATAGTTTGATGATGTTCTCCATGTTAAGTTGTTATTTTTTTTTTCTTTTTATCAGACCTCAATTCTAGCCACTCTGGCAAAATGTCAGCAAAATGAAAAGCAGTATATTGCGATGGTGACAGAAAGACGCATATGGCTTTCTCAGTACTTTTAAAAACTCTCTGGTAATTTTAACTTCAAACTATAAATCAAAAATCTTTCTAACGCATCGAGGGAGAGCAGCTGCCTCAGCAAAAGCTCGAGAACCAGAAGCTCAGTCTGTCAGGGAATAATTTCACCTGAATCCAGCATTATCTGAAATGATTAACTGTCTTTACCCAACTGCTTGTTGCTGTAACTACGCATTAGATTTTTTCCAGAATATGACTAGAAATATTGAATCTGAAGTTTCTGCACATATTAATCATAATCTCTGCTTCGCCCCACCCCCCCAAGGTCTTGATTACACAGAGTATGCTAGATGACCCAGGCAGGTTAATGATAAATTATTATTTTCAGTCTCCACCATGCTGATGAGATGAATAACACGACTGCGTGAGAGCTTACCTCTGCAAACTCAGTAGTCTAGGTTTGAGACCTGGGTCCTCTGGTTGGTTTTTGTCATTGGGCAAGTCTTAAATGACTCTCTGGTGCTCAGTTTGATTGTCAATAAAATTGGGACAGTGATACCACTTAAATGGGTTGTTTTAGAGGACTGGGCCAGAAAACAGTGTGAAAGGCTCCAGCAGAGTGTCTGGCATGAATTAGTCATCTGTTTGTAAGTTCAAAGAATTTTTATGAACAGTTTCAGAAAATTTGTACTGAATTTCATAGAAAACATTTTCTTGCCCTATTTTCAGGGGAAAAACATGGGAGATTTTTTTTTTCTGGAAATTGTTAACTGCACCTAATTCCAGTCAAGAGTTTTAAATGAATGTTTTGTGTGAAACTGAAGGGCAATTGGCCCTTCATCGTGGTTGTTGGGAACTATTATTGTTTGCTGCCTCGGGTACTGAACAGTTTTGCTGTGATTGTCCAGAAAGTAAATAGAAATGTAATAAGCTGCTGAAAAGTAATACAGAGCAGATGTAACCTGAGGGGGATGACCCGGATAAAGCTGACTCAGTGCTGAGAAAGGATGGGGTCCTCCCTCTCTTCCCTGGATGCTACCCCAGCTGTTGAGTGTCCCCATGGATCCTCACAGGAGGGGTAGTTTCTGCTTCCCTGGGCTGAGGGCTCCCCATTGATCACAAAACATCATTTCTGCCTGGCTGGCATGGCTCAGTGGTTGAGTGTTGACCTATAAGCACTAGGTGCAGTTCATGGTTCGATTCCCGGTCAGGGCACATGCGGGCTCCATCCCCAGTATGGGGCGTGCAGGAGGCAGCACATCAATGATTCTCTCTCATCATTGATGTTTCTATCTCACCCTTGCCCTTCCTCTCTGAAGTCAATAAAAATATATAAACAAAAACAAAACATCAGTTCTGTTGTGTGGTCACTGCTGTATTAGAGAGAAATATGGGCTTTGAAATTCAACTACAGAAAGATTCCTTTCCTTTTTGCTTGTCAGATTGGCAGATATAAACAAGATATTGATGCTGCCCTACATTGGAGTGCTTGTTGGGAATAATACTCATGCTTTGCTGCTGGAAATGGGAAATGATAGCACTTTCTGGAAGAAAACTCAATCATGTGTATAATGATGTCACCTTTTATTCCTAGAAAACTTAGTCAAATTCTGTTTCATCTGCTATTAGTTCTGCCATTCCAGCTCTTTTTGGATAAGTGTTTTTATGAAATGCCATTCTAAATTCCTTTATTTTTATTTTTTTGGATATAGTTTTAATTTATGTAGCATATAAGAGTGACATTCAGTAGATGCCTGGATTATGTTTTTAAATCCAATCTGATAATCTCTGTCTTTAAACAGGTGTGTTCAATTCACTTAGTTCATAGTAGTTGGGATTAATTTTTACTCTTTTAAATTTGGCTTTTTGGTTTTCAGTAGATTTTTCTCTTCTTGCCAAAGCTTATTTTTTTATTCTTTGTGGTTACCTTTAAATTTTAAATGTATATAATTATAAAATTTTAAAGCAACATATAAAATTATCAATATTTTTATATTTCTCCTAAATACATCAAGGATTGTAGCAAGTTAACTGCCCATTTAACATGGATCCCCCACATGGTTCTTTTCTGGAGGTTGTTTTTTAAAAATATTTTTTTTATTGATTTCAGAAAGGAAGGGAGAGAGAGAGAAACATCAATGATGAGAGAGAATCATTGATTGGCTGCCTCCTGCTGCCCCCTACTGGGGATCGAGCCCGCAACTGCCACTGGGTGGGCATGTTCCCTGATTGGGAATCAAACCATGACCTCCTGGTTCTTAGGTAGACCCTCAACCACTGAGTCATGCCAAGGGCTTTTTTTATATTTTAAAAATGTCAATCACTTTTGGGTGAATTTCTCAATACTAGCTTCCAATTTTTTAAATTTCCTTTTTAACTAT